GTGCGCCGAAATGGAGGTGGAACTGCATGCGGACCCTGCCCTGGGGCCTTTGGTGGAGCACCCAATGTGGCCACGGAGCGTGTGAGGGGTTCGCCGACATGTAGGTGGAACTGCCTGCACGCATATAACGATGATGAGGACATGCGGAGTGCAGAGGCAAGAGATGGGAGGAGGAGGGGGAGGAGGAGGAGGAGGAGGAGGAGGGGGAGGAGGAGGAGGAGGAGAAGGAGGAGGAGGAGGAGGACGAGGAGGAGGAGGAAAAGGAGGAGGAGGAGGACAAGGAGGAAGAGGAGGCGGAGGCGGATTGGCCCCCAGTAGCTCCCCATCCCAAGACGACTGCTGAATGTGCTGAGGCTCGGGCCAGACTCGGGTGCTACGTATGTGTTGGGAGGGCGGGTGGGATTGAGCGAGACGGCCTGCGGGCGGGGAGGGGGTAACTTAACCCCTCCCCCCACCCCCTCCCCTGGACCTGGAATGGAGGTGCCGCGACCGATTTGAGCGTCCAAGAAGGCCTCGGCGAGATTCTACAAATCACTGATTCTCCTGAGGTGTTGGGGGGTGGGGGGGGAGAGCCCCCTTCTTTGATCGAGCTCTTCCAAGATGGCCCAAAGATGGTATCCAAGGCTTCCAAGAGTGCCCCAGGAGGGCCCCAAGAGGCGCCCAAGCGGCCCCAAGAGGCCACAAAGAGGTCCCCAAGAAGCTCCCAATAACCCCCCAAGAGGCCTGAGGTACCAAGACGCTGCAAGAGGGTCCTGGGACCGCCAGGGCGCCCCCAAGACGTCCAAGCAGGACTCCAAGAAGCTCTCAAGAGACATACGAAGAGATTCCGAGAGGCATGCAGGGGGCCTCTGGCCCTTCAGCTCACCTCCTCCTCCTCTTCCTCCTCCTCCTTCTCCTATTCCTCATCCGCCTATTCCTCCTCCCTCCTCCCTCCGCCCCCCCCTCTCCCTCTCCCTCATCCCTCATCCTTCTCCTCCTCCTCCTCCTCCTCCTCCTCCTCTGTCCTCCCCCTCTCGTTGTATGACGGCTTCCCCAATCCCTTATTCCACTGCGTGCTCCTCCGTATCCGGGATCAGGGCAACTCGCCTGGACATCGTTTCTGCATGAGCTCGTGGAGTTACGCGAAGCGCCTAGACTAAGATCTTGGCATCTGCGGGCCTAGGGGGTCGGCGGCGTGGCGTAAGCTAGTGAAACACATGTCCAAGAATTCTCGCCGACACCACAGGCAGTGGAAGGCAAGAAACTGAAGCACGCGGGCATCATTACAGATCCTCCGCACAAATCTGAAGTAGCCTCACGGGGCGAGAACTCGGAGAGGGTCGATCCCAGCCTTGGTTAAGTTTCAGCCGAACCTCTCCATGAATGACCCCCGAGCTGTGGCCCGCGCGTGGCTGGCGAACTCCCACTCGTGGAAGTCAGGCCCTGCTTGCGAGGACTGCATGGCCTGCTCGTCGTCACCGAGCGCGAGAACCAGCTAAGCCCAAAAAGGAGTGGCGGTTAGGCTCTCCTCGCTCCCGCCATCTGTGTTCGCCAGCGGTGCTAGGTGCCCATCGGCGCCTCCAGGCCACTTTCTCTGGCGCTTGCCGAGGAGAAATGCAAATCTCCCAGGCCAGAGAATGACCTCTGGCCCCTGCTCCTGCTCGGGCGCGGCCATATCTGCGAACGCACGGATCAATGTAATGCATCCGTGGACCTCTTGATCTTTGCCACATGAGGAACGAAATCCAAGTGAACAGGGCACGCCGAAGTTGAATTGAACCCCAACTCCGCGGGAGCAGCCCCCCTCGGTGCATCAATCTTTGACTGGGGAGGGAAGACTGTTGGTTGGCGGGGGAGCAGGCGGTAAGCAGCAAACATGGGACGGGGGAGCTCGGCGTCGGTTCCAGACATCCTCCAATGCAATCGGACCCAGGACTGAAGAACATCCCACAAGAACACGAGGCCATCCGCCGGCCAAAACAACCCAAACCATACGATCACTCGAGAATCTCATCCCCCAGGATGCCCCCAAAACATCCCACAAACTGTTTTTTTTGCGTCGGCGGCTAGGCAGAGTAACTGCGCTGGCGGAGAGCTAACTAAACGGGGGTGCCGTTGCAGCGAAGTGCGCCACCATGCAGGAGAAGGGGACAGGGCAGAGGAAGCGGCCGAAGGAGGGGGCGGGAAGGGAGCGAGGCCTCTCAGGGGGACGGGTCACGCCCTGAGCGCGTGGAACATCCCACAAACACGAAGAACAATAGGTCACCCTCCACGAGCCGACCTCGATCTTGTACCTCGGTCCGGCTGTCTGATTTTTTGTTCAATCCGCGACCCCCCAGCAGCTCCCGACTCCTGCCCCTGGGGGTAGTGCCTCGCCCCGTGGATCCCATGCTGGTGGCCCCGAGGCCCGAAAGACGGGCCCCAGAGGTCGAGATCGAGGGACACGGCCCAGATCGAACAAATCTTATCGTCGCTGGCGGCCCGCTCAAGCCGCCGCGTTAGGCCGCTATGCAATCTCGCGTGGGGCCCGCTCTTGATCGTGGAAAAAACGCAGCGTGCCGCGCTCGCGTCCCGCGTAAGCTGCGGCGTAAGGCCGCTGTGCCATCTCGCGTGAGGCCCGCTTTTGAGAGCCGCTCGTGTGGTCGTCCAGCTTCCCCGAGCTGTTTCGGGGCCCCTGCCGTCGAGGCGGAGCCCAGAGATCCGGGGTTCCCAGTCCCAGCTCTCATTGGCCATGCCGCGGAGAACCCACGAGCTGGCCTGGCAGGGCCGTCCTGCCGCACCGCCCGAGCGGCAACGGCCAGGCCGCCCGGCGCAGCGAGAGAGGGTCGGGGGGACGATCAGCACCGCCATCGGCTCGCGAGGCTCTGGCCGGAGACTCCGGACCCTCTGGCGCCAACCTGAGCGGACAAGAACGCAGAGCGCCGCGTTTGTCCGTTAGGCTCGAACGTAAACCAACAAAAAGAAGTGGGCGACGACAAGGCGGCCGATGACGAGGATGACGACGTGGATGACGGGGAGAGTAGCGAAGCTCTGGCCGGAGAGTCTGGACCTTCTGGCGCCAATCCGCCGGTGCCCGTGGTGCCGTACAGTCACCAGGCATTCGAATGCAACTGTCGACCTCTTGACTTGTGCCCTGGCAAATGTTGAGCTTGTCTGGACGAGGCGTACCGAAAGTAAACTGAAGCCCAACTCCACAAGAACGGCCCCTCGGTGTACCAGCTTTTGACGACAAGACGGGGGGGAAGCCTGTGCTGGGTGCGGGCGGCAAACAATAAAACGCAAACTAGAAAACGGACAACGGAAAACGGAAACCGGAAAACGGAAAACGGAACCCGGAAATCGGAAAGCGAAACATTGAAACTGGAAAACGGAAACTGGAAAACGGAACTTCGTTTTTTGCCCAAGCCGGGAACCGGAAAACGGAAAGCGGAAAACGGAAACTGGAAAGCGGAAACCGGAAACCAAAAAACAGAAACCGGAAAACGGAAAACGGAAAACGGAATTTGGTTTTCTGCCAAAACCGGAAAACGGAAACCAGAAACCGGAAAACGGAAACCGGAAAACGGAAAACCGGAAACCGGAAAACGGAAACCGGAAAACGGAACTTCGTTTTCTGCCCAAACCGGAAAACGGAAAACAGAAACCGGAAACCGGAAAACGGAAAACAGAAACCGGAAACCGGAAAACGGAAAACGGAAACCCGCAAAAGGAAAACGGAAAACGCAACTTCGCTTTCTGCCCAGACCGGAAACCGGAAAACGGAAACCATGGAACGGAAACCAGAAACCGGAAACCGGAAACCGGAAAACGGAAAACGGATTTTCGTTTTCTGCTCCAGGGTTCTGTTTTCCGTTTCCGTTCCGGTCCGGCGCGCCTGCTGACCGGAATCATCTGCGGTGGTGTTCTGGCCCACGCAGCTTCGCCTCGCCCGCACGCGCGACACGAACGAAACGAAACGATTTCCCGGTTGGGGGTCTCCGTTCCACTGCGATCTCACCCCTCAACCTCCGACTCTTCAAGCTCCTTTGATATCGATGGCCGCCCCAAGTTGACGTCGCGGTTTCCGCCGCGCGTTTCGCGGGAATGGCTGCCCTGCCTTGAGGCGGAAATTGCCGCCTTACTTTTTCACATCGGTTGGGATGCATTTCTGGCTCAACTTTCAGTCGGAACATCTACCAGAGTGCTGCGGATCTGGAGTCAGGGTCCCGCGCGGGCAGGAGTCTGGCTCGAGCTGCCAGGGCGGAGGCTGTGGGGCAAGGTGCCCAAAGAGGATCGAGGACCTCCACCTCAAGGCCGAGCCGCCATTCTTAACCAGCCTCGAACGTATCCCTGTCCCTGAGACTGACACGCCAAAAGGCGATGACAATCCTAGGGATTCGCCCTCGAAAAATAAGGGAATCCCTGAGATTGGCATCGTGAGGAGGAGATGCCCAGCATAGGGATAGGGATATGTCCCAGGCTGGTAGATTCTGGAGGCGAAGAGCTTCCAGGCCAGAGGGCAATCGCAGCTTGGAGTGATAGGCGAGCCTGCCCTCGAGGGCCTGCGCTCCTGTGCGCGTAGAGCGGGGGGATGGCATGGGCCGGCCGCTCGCACGCATGGCGCGGGGGCGCGGCCCCTGAGGGGACCCCCTCCTCCTCCACCTCCCCTTCCTCCTCCCGAGCATTATCCTGCTCTTCCTCCTCCTCCTCCCCCTCCTCCTCCTCCTCCTCCTCCTCCTCCTCCTCCTCCTCCTCCTCCTCCTCCTCCTCCTCCTCCTCCTCCTCCTCCTCCTCCTCCTCCTCCTCCTCCTCCTCCTCCTCCTCCTCCTCCTCCTCCTCCTCCTCCTCCTCTGGTGGGCACTCCTCCTCCTCCTCCTGTGGGCACGCCCCCCCGAGCGGTGATGCCCTGGCGCCGAGCACTCGGACGGACACCCCAGACCCCCTCGAATTGTGAACAAAATCAGGACGGGAGGTGTTCCCCAATCTTCGGCCTCCGGGGGCCCTCGCCGGGCCTCGCCGTCAAAACACGACGCAGGATGAAGAACCGGTCCCGGGGAAGGGGTCCAGACCTCTGGGGCTCGACGTCGCGAAAAAAGCACGACGTCGGGGGCCTGGGGCCCTGGCGTCGAGCACTGGGGCGGACACCGAAGGAGCGCGCGAGCGGTGCAGCGCCAGCACTGTGCAGCATCGGCCCGGGGAGAAGCGGGGCGGGCAGCCGACACGGGAACGCGGCACGAGGGAGGGGAGGGGGCGAGGAGGGGGCGAGGAGGGGAGCCTTCGAGGATGCCGAGGCAAAGAGCGGAGACGGCTAGGCACCTAGGACAAGGAAGAGGGACACACCGGCGGAGCTGGAGGAGGGAGGGCCAGAAAAGCCAGGAGCGGGGGTTCGGAGCGAAGGGGAGGAGAGTGATCGAGCGAGAAGAAGCCAGAAGGCTGCGGGTGGGCTGGAGGAGGTGAGGAGAAAGAAGAGGATGAGATCCGGTACCTGATGGTCAGGCTGCATGGGGAGGAAACGGAGGAAGAGCAGGAGGAGGGAGGAGGAGGTGGACGAAGAGGAGGAGGAGGAGGAGGAGGAGGAGGAGGAGGAGGAGGTAGAGGAGGAGGAGAAGGAACAGTACGATTCATGAAAATGAGAACGAGCATGAAAGATGAGCATCCACATGAAACATTACATAACGCTAGAAGCAACACTGACAATACACATATAAACATATGATAACAACAGTAATGCATCTAAACATAACCTAAACATAACAAGCCAAAATCACCATACACTGACAATAAGCCTGCACATAAGCATACCACACCCTATCAGCAGGACTAATAATACGCATACTGTGCTGTGATGAAAGATTGCCCAATTTGGACGGGTCGGCAAAAATTCATCCTGCGTCCGCAATGCGAGCACACGTCGCTAGTCGCCCCGTTAGGGGCGTGGAGCCTGGTACAATGTTACGGGGGAGGTGCCTCGCTTTCGGGGCCGAGGTCTGGTACCTTAATTAAATCTCTATTGCACCAAACGGGATGGCGGTTCGAAAACGGCAAACCGCGTGTGACATCCTCATTTGAATGGCTGTCTTGACGGTTCGAACTTGGTCCGAAACAACAGAATCGGGGTCGAAACAAAAGCAAAATGAGCGTTTCGCGTGGGACTTTCTTCAACATACGGCGTCCGACCCGGTTCGAAACAAAAAGATGGCGGTTCGAAAACGGCAAACCGCGTCGGACACCCTCACAAGAATTGCTGTCTTGACGGTTCGAACTCGGTTCGAAACATTAGAATATGGTTCCAAACATTTCGAAAACGAGCATTTCGCTTGGGACTTCCTTCGAAACACGATTGGAACCTGGTTCCGCAGTGGGATGGCGGATCCAAAATGCCAAACCGCGTGGGGCGTCCTCGCCAAAATGGCTTTCTTGATGGGGTCCGAACAATTGGAAAACGAGCGCTTCGCTTGAGAAGTCCTTGGACATGCACGTGGAATCTGGCCCCAAACAGGTCCCAAACAAAGGAATCGCGCGGGGCATCCCCTGCAAATGGCGTGAGCCCCATTCCAAGCAACGACGGCCGCGGCGACGACGACCACGACGATGTGCGCTCTCGCCTCGCCGCTGGCCACGCTTAGCCGCGTCTCGGTCTGGCGGACCTCTCTCCCTGCAGCAAGGAGAGGCCCACGGGGCGGCGCTTCCCCCCTGCGGGAGGGGGACGTGCCGGGGGAGACGAAGCCACCCTTCACCCGGGGGGACGTACTGCGCTGTCACCCCAAGCGCTAACATTTAGGAGCCAAGTCGCCCCGTCAAGGCTACTTGTTGCTCGTGCCGCTCATTCGGCCCTGGGCCCTATGGGAAAACCAACATGTTTTGAATCAGTTCTCCGTCTTCCGTGTTTTTTTGCTGCCCATTCTCTTCTTTTTGGTTTGGCCCAGGCTCCGAGGCCCCATCCAGCAGTCACAGCACAGCCTTCTAGCAGTACATGCGCGCGTGGTCGCAACAGTCTCGATTCCCACCGCAGATCCAATAAACATGCATCCATTCTGTCCTTGCGGCAACTTTCCAGACAAGCTGGAGGGAGGCGGGGTGGAAGAATGAGGGAGGAGTTTGCATCTATCAACTTTCAGGGTTTATTGATATTGTCGTGCCCTGCGTGCTTGAGCTGCTTGTCAGCAGTGGTGGAATAATGAGGGAGGGGCTTGGCGATGTGGTTGCCACAGGCATCTAGGTGCTCAGTCACTGGGGGACTCAGGCGCTGGTGGGCCCAAGTAGCACTGATAGTATTCCAGCGCAACCAGCTCCACATCACAACGACACAGATGGCAGCACCCCCTCATGGCACAACGGAACTTGAATGCATCGTAGCCTATACGTCGACAATGCCAAAAAAGGCCAACATTTAGGCACGCCGCTGTAATACCATTAATAATGCCTCGAAGAAATGCCACGAAGAAAAGTACAACCAACAACAACAACAACATCATCAGCAGCAACGACAGCAGCAGCAACAACACTACCAACCCCACGAACAACACTAACACTGCTATGGGT